GCGTGCCGCCGGTTCCCCTTCCAGCCAGCGAAAAAATCCAGAGCCTCCAGGCTCGGCACCAGCCCGAGGTCACCTGCTCGCCGCCGTGGCCCTGAGCGAGGAGCCGAAGCCGAATTAAGCTCAGCGAGAGGGAGACAAGAGAGCTCTCTTCCCCCCCCCCCCCGGTGCGCATGCGGCCGATCTCCTTCCTACGGTTTGCCCTGTCGTAGCCTGGCTGGACTCTCGCCCCGGGCGGTGGCTGCTTTTAACACCTACCCTGCTGCCCTGCTCCTCCGGCCATGGGTTCGAGGAGGCGTGCGTTCCACCCTCGGCTTCGTTGTGGGGAGACTAGTGGGGGACGTGATAGCCGTCTTCCAATATTTGAGGGGCTGCCCCAAAGAAGAAGGGGGGGGTTTCTCCGCCTTTTCTCCGAAGCACCAGAAGGCAGGAGAAGAAGCGACGGATGGAAACTGCTGGAGGAGAGAAGCCACCTGGAGCTTCCTAACAGTGAGAACAGTTGACCAGTGGAACTGCTTGCCACCAGAAGTTGTGGGTGCTCCAAGACTGGGGTTTTTTAAGAAGCGACTGGACAGCCACTTGTCTGAAATGGTCTAGGGGAGTGGTTCTCAACCTGTGGGTCGGGACCCCATTTGGGGTCGAACGACCATTTCACGGGGGTCGCCAAACAACGCAGTCCTCCATTTCTTCCCCCCCTTTTCTTTAGCTGTGCTACTCCCTTTTAGTCTATTGGCTTTTGAAAGCCAATAGAATAGACTCTCTTGAATAGAGTCTAATTCTATTGGCTTTCAAAAGCCAATCGGAATTGTCCAGGCTGTCTCTGCCCTGCTGAGCCCGCCAAAAGCCCCATTCTGCAAACGGTGCTGCACCAGTTGAGTAGTCCTCGACTTACGACCGGTTGAGTAGTCCTCGACTTACAACCGGTTGGGGGTCGCGGCATTAAAAAGGTTGAGAACCACTGGTGTAGATTCTCCTGCTTGAGCAGGAGGTTGGACTGGAAGATCTCCAAGGTCCCTTCCAACTCTATTATTTAGTTATTCCCTTAAGGGCGCCCTCTGAGAATGTGCAAAACTGTTTGGGAGGATACTAAGAGTGCCTTTGGCGGCATCAGACGCTGCCAGGTGCAGTTGCCAGGTGCAAGGATTTGAGTGTGGGCACAGGCCTGGGGGCACGGGTGTGTTCATTGCTTTAATGTTTTGTATTTTTTAATTCTTTTAAAATGTTGGCCTTGTAAGTCGCCTGGATTTACTTGACTGAGTTGGGCGGCTGCGGAAACCGAATAAATAAATGCAGGTAGTCCTCCGCTTACGAGCCAAAAATTTCCGTCGCAAAGCGAGACAGTCACAAAGTGAGTTTTATTCCATTTTACGACATTACTTGCCACTAACTTTGCTGGTTAGAAGGTCACAAAAGGGGATCCCATGACCCCCCCCCTCCCGGGGAACACGGCAACTGGTTGCCAAGCGACCGAATTTTGACCGCGTGACCCCGGGGATGCTACCACGGTCATAAGTGTAAAAAATGGTCACTAAACAAATTGCTGTAAGTCGGGGACCACTTGTAAATAAATTCCCAGAATCGCCCAGACATCCCCCCCTTCCCCCCACATGCTCCAACACTGGAAGTTTTTAAGAAGAGACTGGACAGCCGTTTGTCCGGAATGGTATAGGGTTTCCTGCCTGAGCAGGGGGTTGGACTAGATGACCTCCAAGGTCCCTTCCAACTTTTATTATTATTGTTGCTGTTGTTTTGTTGTTGTATTATGTTGTTGTTATTATTATTATTATATGCTGCTTTTTCCCTTGGCAAGGCTGACCTGAGTGTCACTCGGGGGGGGGGGGCGTCTCCCTGGGCATGTCACTATCCCAGATCCCTGCTCAGGGAAGTGAGGGGGTTTGTGAGAAAGCCCTTAAGAGCAGCAGGATCTGGAGCAGTGGTTCTCAACCTGTGGGTCGGGACCCCATTTGGGGTCGAATGACCATTTCATGTGGGTCGCCAAACAACGCAGTCCGCCATTTTTTCCCCCTTTTCCTTAGCTGTGCTACTCCCTTTTATTCTATTGGCTTTTGAAAGCCAATAGAATAGACTCTCTTGAATAGAGTCTAATTCTATTGGCTTTCCAAAGCCAATAGGAATTGTCCAGGCTGTCTCTGCCCTGCTGAGCCTGCCAAAAGTCCCATTCTGCAAACGGTGCTGCACCGGTTGAGTAGTCCTTGACTTACGACCGGCTGAGTAGTCCTCGACTTACGACCGGTTGGGGGTCGCGGCATTAAAAAGGTTGAGAACCACTGATGTGGAGGAACCGATTCATTGGTGCACGAGGCGGGGCTTGTGGACTAACGACAGCTTGATCGGGTTTCTGAAGAGGACCGGCATGCTGTCCTCTCTGGGAAGTCAGAATAGAGCTGGAAGGGACCTTGAAGGTCCTCTAGTCCAGCCCTCCGCTCAAGCAGGAGACCCTAGACCAGTGTTTCTCAACCTTGACAATTTTAAGGCATGTGGACTTCAACTCCCAGAATTCCACAGCCAGCATTGCTGGCTGTGGAATTCTGGGAGTTGAAGTCCACATGCCTTAAAATTGTCAAGGTTGAGAAACACTGCCCTAGACCATTTCAATCAATCAATCAATCAAAAGAGAGCTGGAAGGGACCTTGGAGGTCTTCTAGTCCAGCCCCCCCCCCCCCCGCTCAAGCAGGAGACCCTAGACCATTGCAATCAATCAATCAATCAATCAATCCATCAATCTGAGGGCTGGAAGGGACCTTGGAGGTCTTCTAGTCCAGCCCCCCGCTCAAGCAGGAGACCCTATGCCATGTCAGACAAGTGACTGCCCAGTCTCTTCTTAAAAATCTCCAGTGATGGAGTGCCCACGATTTCCGGTGGCAAGCTGTTCCACTGATTAGTTGTCCTCACTGTTAAGAAGTTTCTGCTTAATTCCAGGTTGCTTCTCTCCTCGATCCGTTTCCAACCCTTGTTCCTTTTGCCTTCTGGTGCTTTGGAGAACAGGGTGACCCCCTCTAACTCTGTGACAGCCCCTCAAATATTGGAAGGCTGCTTTCCTGTCACCCCTCTTTTCTCTGGATTAGACAAACCCAATCCCTGCAGCCGTTCTTCTTCTTCGTCCTTCCTACGTTTCAGTCTCCAGGCCTTTAAATCATCTTATTAACATCCTTTCTTCGTGGCAATCAACCTTCGGAACCGTTGCGACCAGCCTCAGCTACGACGGCAACCCGTCCGTGAAAATAACTTGTTAAGTCAGGCTGCTAGCAGCATCTTCAGGGCCCCCGTTCGCCTGCATTTTTAAATTTTCTCGCCTTTCGCCGCTTCTTCCCCGGCGCCTGGCATTTCCGTGGTCAGCCACGCCGTGACGTGCCTGGCGCTCTCGCTCTCACAGCCAGATGCTCAGTGGGGGCTGATCTGGCTGCGGACACATGAAAAGGGCTCTGGCTGAATGGCCCTTGGTTGACCGGGGGCTGACTGGCTGCTCCCTGCTGGAGAGAGCCATTTTGCCCCGGTGAAATTTTGGGGAGGCCAAATTTGCGGCCACTGGGGATTTTATTTTTAGGGTTTTTTTTTTTTAATTTTATTTGTTTGCTTTTTTAGCAAGCTGACTGACTGACTACCTGGCTGGAGGGATGAAGGCGCAAACAGCAAAGGCTGTTATGGTGCACCTTTTGTAGACAATTCTGTTCCTTTTTTTATTATTAACTGATCAGGTGCCAGCCCCTTTTTCTCTCTCTCTTTTTTTCTCTCTCTCTAGTTAGTTCTCTCTTTCTCTTCTCTCTCTCTTTCTCTTTCTCTCCCTTTCTTTCTCTATCTCTTTCTCTTTTGTTATCTTTTCTCTCTCTCTCTTCTCTCTCTCTAGCTAGTTCTCTCTTTCTTTTTTCTCTCTCTTTATCTCTTTCTCTTCCTCTCTTTTGTTATCTTTTTTCTCTCTCTTTCTTTAGATAGTTCTGTTTCCCTCTCTCTTTCTATCTGTTCTCTCTCTATTTCTCTCCTCTTTTTTCTTTCTCTCCCTCTATTTATCTTTCTCTCTCCATCTATTTGTCTAATTCTCCTTTCTTTCTTTCTTTCATTCTTTCTTCCTTCCTTCCTTCCTTCCTTCCTTCCTTCCTTCCTTTCTTCCTTCCTTCCTTTCTTCCTTCCTTCCTTCCTTTCTTTCTTCCTTTCCTCCTTTCCTCCTTTCTTTCTTTCTTTCTTTCTTTCTTTCTTTCTTTCTTTCTTTCTTTCTTTCTTTCTTTCTCTTTCTATTTACCTAATTCTCTGCTCCTTCTCTTTCTCTCCTTTCTCTTCCTTATCTTTCCTCTTTCTTTATCCCTTTTTTCTCTCTCTCTCTCTCTTTCTCCTCTCTCTTTCTCTCCTCGCTCTCCTTTCTCTGCTGTTCTGTTTTTTAATCTGATTATTGATATTTGGCGGCCCAGCCAGGCCTAAAGCAGCCATCTTCCTGGCTCGTATATCTTTACGGCTTTCCCCGAGCAGAGACTCTCTCCCACGCTTTGGGTGTCTGCCCCCAGCAAATGGATGCCGAGCGGAGGAGCGAAGGCTCACCTGCCTCCGAGAAGGGAGGTGCTCAGGTGACCCCCTGCGGTGGCAGGTTGCTCACCTGCCTCCTGGGATCGTGCAGAGGGCAAAGGGGATAAAAGTGCACCGCTTGAACTCTTGCAGGATTGTGGGGGGGGGGTCTGTGCCCACCCTTCCCTTCTCTCCTTCTGACCCCTTAGCCCAGCTAGCCCGGCTGGCCAGGATGCCCGGATGGAGAGGCGTGGCAGGGAGCAATAACAATCTCAGTTTCCCCTTAATTATTGTTTTGTTCTGCCTGTTTCCTTCTCTTTGCGTTCTTCAAGCGGGAAAGAGTCCTGGAGCTGAGATTTGGAAAAAAGAGGAGGGGGATGGAGAACTGCTGGGGGGGGAGGAGGAAGAAGAGCAGGGGGTCTCCCTCCTCCCCACCCACCCCCCCTCCCCATCTTGGCTCCCGTTTAACCCTTCCTTCTCTCCCCCTCCAGGATGAGACCTCGGTGAGCAGCAGCGAGGAGTTTGACATGAATGACTCCACATGGATGTCAACTGATCAGCAGCTCCAGGCCAGCCTCAGCCCCCCTCAAGAAGGAACCATGCGCAGCCCCCCAAATATCCACAGCCAGGAGGATGGTGAGTAAAGGGAGACACACACACAACCCCGGCATCCTCATTGGGGCGGGGGAGAGGGCAAGGGGCAAGGGGTCCCAGACTGGGCTGGCCAGGGGGGGGGGTCACCTGTGCAGAGATGTCTCCATAGAGCGAGTCCCCAACTTGCAAACTGTTCATTTAGCGGCCAAGACATCACTTGGAGAAAAAAAAAAGCAGCTGACAACCAGGCCTCGCGTTTACGACCGTCACAGCATCCCGACGTAATCAAAATTTGGGCGCTTGGGAACCGAGCAGGTTATTTAAGCGGGTTCCAGCATCCTGGGGTCAGGGGATCCCCGTTTTACGACCTTCCCAGCTGGGCTTCTGGCAAGCAAAGTCAGTGGGGGGGGATTAAGCTGGATTCATTTAACAACGGCACGTTTTTATTAACGGCAGAGGGTCACTTAAACAGACAGGGCGAGAAACGGTCGTAAAATTGAGTGCGACTGACTCAACAGCTGCCTGGCTTAGCGGTGCAAATTGCTTGTGTGTCGTAAGTTTGAGGACTGCCTGGAGGTTGCCCTGCATAAGCAGATCAGAAGCGATCCTGCAGTTTAAAAAAACCCTTTGCATGAGCTTTAAAACCTTGATTTCTTCATGCAAAGAGGGGAACTGGAGATTCTGGGGCCGTGACAGAGAGATAGACCCACATACACGCGTACACACTCGTGTGGCATCTGCTGGTTTTCCTTCTGATTAAAAATGGCAACACTTCTGTCGCTAAGTGAGACACGTTAAGTGAGTTTTTAACAAAATTGAATTTTTGCCTGCCTCGGTTGCCAAGTGAATTCACTGTGGTGGTTAAATTAGCAGAAAGTTGCCAAAAGGGGAGGGGGCAAAATTACGTGGACCCCGGGATGCTGCAACCGTCATAAATGTGAATCAATTGCCATGTGGAGTCCGAATTTTGATCCCAGGGGGAGGGGAACGCTGCAAGATTGGTAAGTGTTGAAAAAAGGTCAAAAAAAGTCAAACTTTTTTTAGGGCGGTTGTAAGTTTGAACGGTCACTGAATGGATGGTCATTAAGCCGAGGACTACCTGTGTACAGGGACGGAGAGCATACACTGAAAAAATAAAGGAATACCCTGAAAAAGGAGAAAAGAGGTTGGCAAGGATGGAGGGGGGGGGAACCCCTGAATTGCTTGTGTTTGTACTTTTGCTTTGCGAAGCAAAATTCTAGAGCCAAACTGAGAAAAACGACACCAACGTGCATTTTTTCCTCTAATCAAGGGCATCTTTCTGAAATAAAGGACTGTCCTTCATCATAAAAAGGACATTTTGGTCACGGGATGCTATCTGCTCAGCTGAAGCCGGATGGGGTCACTTCAGGCTGCCAGCAGAGAAGGGGAACCTGCAAGCAGAAAATCAGCAGATCAGGGAAATAATAAATAGTAATAATAATAACAACAACAGCAACAGCAACAACATAATACAACAACAATAATAACAACAGAGTTGAAAGGGACCTTGAGGTCTTCTAGTCCAACCCCCTGCTCAGGCAGGAGACCCTATACCATCCCAGACAAATGGCTGTCCAGTCTCTTTTTGAAAAGCTCCAATGATGGAGCACCCACAACTTCTGGAGGCAGGTTGTTCCACTGATCAATTGTCCTCACTGTCAGGAAGGTTCTCCTTAGTTCCAGGTTGTTTCTCTCCTTGATGAGTTTCCATCCGTTGCTTCTTGTCCTGCCTTCAGGTGCTTTGGAGAAGAGCTTGACTCCCTCTTCTTTGGGACAGCCCCTGAGATACTGGAAGACTGCTATCGTGTCACCCCTAGTTCTTTTTTCCATTAAACTAGACATAATCCCTGCAACTTAGAATAGAGTGGGAAGGGACCTTGGAGGTCTTCTAGTCCAACCCCCTGTTCAGGCAGGAGACCCTATGCCATTTCAGACAAATGGACGTCCAGTCTCTTCTTAGAAACCACCAGTGTTGAAGTTACCACAACTTCTGCAGGCAAGTTGTTCCACTGAAGGACGAGAAGGAGAAGGGGAAGGAGAAGGAGAAGAGAAAGGAGATGGGGAAGGGGAAGGGAAGGAGAATGGGAAGTGGGAGGAGGAGAAGAAGGAGGAGATGGGAAAGAGGAGGAGGAGGAGAAGAAGGAGGAGGAGGAGGAGAAGAAGGAGGAGGAGGAGGAGGAGGAGGAAGGAGATGGGGAAGGGGAAGGGAAGGAGAATGGGAAGGGGGAGGAGGAGAAGAAGAAGGAGATAGGAAGGGGATAGGGAGGAGGAGGAGAAGAAGAAGAGGAGGAGGGGATGGGGATGGGAAAGAGAAGGGAAAGAAGAAGGAGAAGGAGAAGAGAAAGGAAATGGGGAAGGGGAAGGGAAGGAGAATGGGAAGGGGGAGGAGAAAGGAGGAGGAGGATGGGGATGGGAAAGAGAAGGGAAAAGAGAAGGAGAAGAGAAAGGAAATGGGGAAGGGGAGGGAAGGAGAATGGGAAGGGGGAGGAGAAAGAGGAGGAGGAGGGGATGGGGATGGGAAAGAGAAGGGAAAAGAGAAGGAGAAGAAGGAGATGGGGAAGGGGGAGGGGATGGGAAGGAGAAGAAGGAGATGGAGAAGGGAAGAGGAAGGAGATGGGGAAGGAGAAATTTCTCCTTAGTTCCAGGTTGCTTCTCTCCTTGATCAGTTTCCATCAGTTGCTTCTTGTCCTGCCTTCAGGTTATTTGAACTCCTCTCCTTTGTGGAAGTCCCTTAGATACTGGAACTCTGGGTGCGGGTTTCCCCTACTGACAGAGGTCAACATCTGTTGGCTTGAGGGCCGTTGAGAAGCAGTAGTAGTGACCCACCTCTGTTTCAAGTCTGAAACACAGGCGAAAATGGGAGGAGGGGGGTGCGGCACCCAGCATGCAGCCTGCTAACATCATAACAAGCTTCTCTTTTGACCTTGGATGGTGCATCTCAGCACTTTTTCAAGGAAAAGGCAAGCACAGAGGGAGGGGGGGGTGTCCTGCTTTGTGAGAAGGGGGGGGGGGTTGAAAAGGACACCCTGCAGATGCCATTTGCTGCAATGATTTCTTAGAGGTCTGTCAGAGCCCAGATTTAGGGCAAATTTAGAGAAAGGGCAAAGGGCAGAGGTCAAGCCTTCAGGCGACCTACTCTCCCAGTGCAGGGCAGGAGACAACAGAAACGCAGACACACAAACCCACCGGCTTTTCTAAGAAAAAGCAAAACCTCAAAAGAAGGGTTGTGCCCAGTGGTTCTGTGGCCAGCGTGATCTCCTCCCAACCTGTAGCTAATTGCTAAAGGCTAAGGAAGATGTGGAGGTGCTCAGCTGTCCCCTGCAGGCACCCCAGCATCTAGCACAGAGGTCCTCAACCTTTTTGGGCACCAGGGACCGGTTCTGTGGTTTTTCCGCAGACTGGAGAGTGCGCGGTTTTGTGTGCTGCCTCCATCCCGCGGATGGGGCTTTGCTTGTTTGTGTGGACCGGTTGCTGGCATGCCAAGGCCCGGTACCAGTCTATGGGGCGGGGGTTGGGGACCCTTGATCTAAAGGATCTACAGAAGTACAGAGAAGACCAACAAAGATGATGAGGGGACTGGAGGCTAAAACATACAAGGAATGGCTGCTGGAATTGGGTACGTCCAGTTTAACGAAGAGAAGGACGAGGGGGGACATGATAGCAGCCTTCCAGTATCTCAGGGGCTGCCCCAAAGAAGAGGGAGTCAAGCTATTCTCTCAAGCCCCTGAAGGCAGGACAAGATGCAACAGATGGAAACCACTCAAGGAGAGAAGCAACCTGGAATTAAGGAGAAACTTCCTGACAGTTAGAACAATTAATCATTGGAACTACCTGCCTCCAGAAGCGGTGAACGCTCCAACCCTGGAAGTTTTTAAGAAGAGACTGGACAGCCATTTGTCCGAAATGGTATAGGGCAGTGGTTCTCAACCTTTTTAATGCCGCGACCCCCCAACCGGTCGTAAGTCGAAGACTACTCAACTGCTGCAGCACCATTTGCAGAATGGGACTTTTGGCGGGCTCAGCAGAGCAGAGACAGCCTGGACAATTCCTATTGGCTTTTGAAAGCCAACAGAATTAGACTCTATTCAAGAGAGTCTATTCTATTGGCTTTCGAAAGCCAATAGAATAAAAGGGAGTAGCACAGCTAAGGAAAAGGGGGGAAAAATGGCGGACTGCGTTGTTTGGCGACCCCCGTGAAATGGTCGTTCGACCCCAAATGGGGTCCCGACCCACAGGTTCAAAACTGCTGGTATAGGGTTTCCTGCCTGAATAGGGGGTTGGACTAGATGACCTCCAAGGTCCCTTCTAACTTTATTATTATTGTTGTTGTTATATTATTGTTGTTGTTGTTGTTGTTACCATGTCAACCCTCTGGCTGGGGAATTCAACATTAAAGAAACTCTACGGCCTTGAGGTGCCTTTTTTATTGAGCGTGCATCTTGGCACTGAAGAAGTAATATCAACTTCCTGCTAGAGCAAAAAGCAAACTTCCTGCTAGAGCAAAAAGCCCCCAATCCCACACCCCACCCCCCCCCCAGACACACACCAGGCCACACAAGCAAGGGCCACGTCCAAGGCTGCTGGGAACAGGCCCTATGCAACACCCGTAATGTCCTGCTAGGACTGGGCAGGGAAAAACAAGGCCCACGCAGGACACGAGCCCGGTCAGAGGCCTTCACTTTGTCCCAGTTGCAGTTGCAGTGGGGAGGGGCGAGCGGAGGGGACAGCCATGCAAGCGAGGGGTTGTGTGTGAACTTTGCACAACTGCTTCTTAGAGTGGAGGGGGGGCAGTCACAGTTCATCTCCAGGCTCTGTCTGGTTCCTTTTATTTTTATTTATTTTTGAGGAGGGGGGGGGGCTTGAACCCTTCTTTGTCTCCAGAGGCCCCTGCTGAGCGGCAGCTGGAGGACCCAGAGTTGTTGGGCAGGCGGGGAAGAAAACCCCTCTGTCCTGCGAGGAAAAAAGGGCAATTGTTTGCAAAGCACGCTCACCCATCCCTCCGCCCAGCCGGGCCCGAAGGA